CTTTTTCACTCCAGTTAAATGCACATCGACTTCTAAAACGGGAACTGGAATCCTTCCCGAGCAGAAATATAGCGCAATGGTCGCTAAACAACGTATAATTTGCTTTTCAAATTGTCGCTCGCCGTTTCAGGCTGTCGACTCCGCTTCTTGGATTAGCGTCCTCGAGGTTTAGTGGCCGCCGGTTTTCCCTTCTCCTTTTTTTTTAAACATTTATCGTGACGGAAAATATTAGCTGAAGTTTGGGGGAATTGATGTCGTCGGGGAGGCATGATGTCACGGGGGGGAAGTGTTGCCGGGCGGGGGGGGGGGGTGCTGTGTTGTTGCACTTCGTCAATTTGTGTGTGGGTGCATGCATTAATGCGTGTGGAGAGAGAGAGAGAGTACGACACACACACACACACATACACACACACTACACACACATACACACACACTCACACCACACACACACACACACACACACACACACACACACACACACACACACACACACACACACACACACACACACACACACACACACACTCTCTCACACACACACTTCTTAGGCCCGATCATTGATATTACAGTAGATCTGTTGATATGTCGCGTGTGTATTCACACACAGATATACGATGGATAAATATTCACATATATGAATATATCCCAAATGCATATATACATGTACATACGTTGTACGTAGACAAATAGACAGACTGATAGACAGACAGACAGACAAAGAAACCGATACACAGACAGACAGAAATATAGACAGATAGACAGACAAACAGACCGATACACAGACAGAGAGAAAGATACAGATAAACAGATAGACAGAAAGATAGACAGATAGAAAGAGAGAGAGAGAGAGAGAGAGAGAGAAAGAAAAAGAGAGAGATGCATATATGTATATATATGCCTATCTGTCTTTCTTCCCTTTGCCTTGAGATCTGAGCCCGAAGCCGGCGATGTGGCTGACAGCGACACTTTCAGCGGTAAAACCACTCCGCATAAAGTCTACGGCGTCGCACTGCCGCATTTCACTACTACAGCGCCTCAGCATTATCCCGGACAAACGCTGAGATTTCTCGCGGCTCTGTGGGGGCTGTGGGTGTGAAATCCAAGATATAAAAGGATTCGTGATTCGAGGAAGGTTTTGTTATACTGAGGTGTAAAAGGAATGCTTATATAAACGCGATGTACCTTCTCTTGCTGTGCGTATTCCAGCAGAACACAAATATAAATATTTTATATAAAAGAAATCTAAATATAAGCTCTAACATGCATACAAACGAGCACACGCACATACGCGAGAGCGCGCACATACACACACACACGCA